GGTGACAGCTTGAGACTCTGTTTCAAAAATAAAATAAATAAATAAAAATTAGCCAAATACATGCTCTTAGTCCTAGCCACTCAGGAGGCTGAGGATCACTTGAGCCCAAGAGTTTGAGGCTGCAGTGAGCTATAATGGTATACCTGCACTTTAGCCTGGGTGACAGAGTAAGACCCTATCTCTAAAAAAAGCAATAATGGGGTAGGGAGAACATTCATGGACATAGTATCATAGGCCTGTATTCATAGCTATTCAAAAGGCTGAGGCAGGAAGATCATTTGTGCCAGAGTTAAATTCCAGCCTTGGCAACATAGCAAGACCCCAGCTCTAAATATTTAAAAACTAAGAAAAAAAAATGAGAGCATCTTTATGTAGGGGAAGCTCCAGGAACAACAACAACAACAACAAAAAAGGAACATTCATGACTCATGGGAGGAGTCAAAATATCAACATTAATAGGTATATAGAAAAAGTTGATTCCAATCTTCCTGGATGACTTTGAGGGGTTTAAAGAGAAAGAAGAACCTGCAGTTATGGTAGAAATAGGAAGAGAACTAGAATTAGAAGTGGAGTCTGAAGATGCGACTGAATTGCTGCAATCTCGTAATAAAACTTAAACAGATGAGGAGTTGCTTTTTATGGATGAGAAAAGAAAGTGGTTTCTTGAGATAGAATCTACTGGTGAAGACGCTGTGAACATTGTTGAAATGACAACAACAGATTTAGAATATTACATAAACTTAGTTGATAAAGCAGTGGTAGAATTTGAGAGAATTGACTCCAATTTTGAAAGAAGTTCTACTCTGGGTAAAATGCTGTCAAATAGCATCCCATGCTACAGAGAAACCTTTCATAAAAGGAAGAGTCAATCGATGTAGCAAACTTCTTTGTTGTCTTATTTTAAGAAATTGCCACAGCCATCCCAACCTTTAGCAACCTACACCCTGATCAGTCAGCAGTCATAACATCAGAGCAGGACTCTCCACCAGCAAAATTATTATGACTCACAGAAGGCTCAGATGATGCTTAAAATTTTTTGGAATAAAGTATTTTTTAATTAAGGTATGTACATTGTTTTTTTTAGACATAATTCTGTTGTACACTTAATAGACTACAATACACTTAAATATAATTTTTATATGCACTGAGAAACCAAAACAACTTGTGTGACTTGCTTTATTGAGATACTTTCTTTATTGTGGTAGGTCAGGAACTAAAGCTGAAATATCACTGAGGTTTGCCTGCATCTAAAAGGAAGGTCTAAGATTCAAAAAGAAATGATTACTGGGGTGATGCCTGTGTTCAGTAGGTGGGGCGCCAGCCCCATATTCTGAGGGTGGCAAGTTCGAACCTGACCCCAGCCAAACTGCAACAAAAAATAGCCTGGCATTGTGGC